AGATGCGTTGAATGTAGAGCAAAAGGAAACAGAGTGGAGTGGTGGGAAATTCATCTCCAGATTAAACAGAATTGAATGGAAGTACTTTTGTAAAAAAAAGAATGAACGTGCCTAGAATTACAGAACACACTGATGCTGCCAGAAACATGTTTGGCTTCCTTGCCAGACACTTTATTGCACTCTCGTTGTAATAATTAGTCTCATACTAACTTAGTCAAACAACCCCTATTAATTCTCATCTCTGTTTTAAAGGTACAATGTCAGTCACATGCACTTAAGTGATTTTTTTTTTCTTTGAAAAGCCAATGTATTTTACATTGTGAGCTTTACAGTTGTATTTTTAGTTGAATTCTGGGGCANATCTCATTGCCTACCTGCACATTTGCACATTTTTCCGCATTCACACACGTAAAACACATTTTGGTGACTTTTTTTGCCACAAGATCATAGGACTTGCAATACCGTTACATAACCAAAGCATAAAAAACAAAAATAAATATGTAGTATGGCACTTTGTCAATGATACGGGCCAAGCTTTTAGTAACTAATTCATATACTATGCTGATGTTCTTAAGAAGCACCTCTGTTATTATTATGTGTCTCTTTATATTTAAAATCTTTCATTTACTAAAACAGCAGATACTGTCTGGAATGACTTAATGCTTCATTGGCTCTTTTTCCTCACGACACTGTCTTTAAGGGCAGCACTTGTGGAGCTCTGAAGAGTCACTGAGACCCGGATGATGAGCTGCTGCCCCTCCCACCCCTTCCCACCCCTCCCCAGTGTAACCCTCTCCTTTCTGGAGGAGACTCGCTGGACCCCTTTCACTACCACCCATATTTTTTCCAGAATGTCCATTGCACCCCTCCCCAGTGTAACCCTCTCCTTTCTGGAGGAGACTCGCTGGACCCCTTTCACTACCACCCATATTTTTTCCAGAATGTCCATTGCGTGAACCAGAACACTGAGAAAGGGCTGCCTTCCCTGCGCCCAAGTTTAGCTCTTCAGCTCCACAAGTAAGTTTGTTGCCTGTTTATGGAACCAACTGAACAACCATGAGCTTCCTCAAGGAAATGGCCTAGATGAAGTATGATCCTAACATGTTTTTGGCAGCCTACAGGGTTTCTGAGCTTCTTTAGACTTAACGTGCTTAGCATCTGGACTGGCTTAACTTTCCCTCAGCAATGTTTTGGATACTTTACTGGATAGGAAGTGCCTGCTCATTTTCTCTCCTTTGGGAAACCAAGACTTATGTACAGATTTTCCCCTCAGGTTTGAGTGAGAGGCCTTGAGTCAAAGCCAGGTTTTTTTCCTTCACTGAAACATGCCACATGCCCAGTGTCCGGGAATGTGCCTCTGGTGGAAACAGAGGACAGCACCGAGGTTTGATGCATCAGGACACTCAGAGAGATGAGCAGTCACCTTCTCCTTACAAAGTCCTCCACACAGGTGATGCCGAAGGTGGGTGCATAAGACTAAACTTCCGCTTCATTATAATTATCTTTAAATTTATGTTTCTTGTCCCTTTCAGTTTTGAAAGTGTGTTTTTAAAAGTATTTCTCTTGGCTACCAGCTAAGGTTTGTTGAAAACTAAAGCCAGGGAAAAAATTTAGAGGATGGGGAAGATAGGACCTCCTGGGGCCAGTAACATTCATTTCCTGTTCTTGTGCAGACTCTAAGACATTGCAGAGTTCGTCATCTTCAGCCAGTGGAGGGGACGACCAGGGTTGGCAGATGAGTTAAAAGATCTCACAGTGAAATCAACTACAATCCAAGCAAAGGTCACTTTCTCTCCTATTTTATATTGGGAGCCCTAGGATGAGAAATAAAGTTATTCAAAAAGGAACATGAAATCTGATCTATCCAAGAAAAACAAAATCCTTCACAGTCATGAAACTCCAAGACCAAGGGCCAGCACCTATGGTCGGGCCTCTGATGTGCAGAAGTGACCCACAGCTATGCCTCTGCCCTGGGATGGCTTCAGCCTTCTATACCTTCTCCGCAGTGCTTCACAAACCCCCCATCCCATCCCACTCCACAGCAAGTAAAGCTCAGAACCCCAAGGGGACTTGTTGGGAAAATGCCTAGAGTTCTTCATTCCTTAATTTCTCTCTCTTCAATATCGGTAACCCAGCCAGAGACCCTAGTGCTTATAAATGCCAAGGGAGCCCTCCTCCCCAGAGCAACCTACTCCACCCACAGCAAGACCCAGTGATGAAGGAAATCCTCACTCTGGAGAGTACTCAAGAACTTCAAAATACTCCGAGATGCGTTGAATGTAGAGCAAAAGGAAACAGAGTGGAGTGGTGGGAAATTCATCTCCAGA